CACACTCTATCACCTTTACCCTGCTGTTATTTTTTTTCCTTACCATCTAATGTAACTTTTTCTGTATTATCACTCTTCCACTACTAAAATGGAAGGTCTGTAAAAGCAAGGATTTTGTTTTGCACACTGTTTGATACCTAGTGCATCTAATGAATGGTATTTGCATGTAGAAGGCTGGTCAGTAAATATTAAATCAGTGAATTTCTTATTCTTCCTGAGTGGATGTTATTTGTTCATTTATCACTCTACATTTTCTTAACATACCTGTTTTAATGACTCCTCTATAGAAATAATTTTTTCTTGTATGAATTTGTTCTAAAATCGTTGATTTTTGTTGGCTGCTTTTTGAAGATTTCTTTTAGATTTCTCCATATATTTTGGAATTTTGGTTTATAAAGTTATTTTAAGTGAAGTTTTTGTTTATTTTCTCCTTCCCTCTTTCTGTTCCCTTCCATGCCATCTCTCCCTCTCCCCAAGTCACCTTTCACTAACTAGCGGTTTTGTGATCAGTCCCACCTGGATTGTGTTCAGGAGAGTTCATGGTAGCTCAGGGCTTCTGCCCAGTGTCGATACTGCAGATCCCATCAGCAAGTGAGGAGCAACTTAGTTTAACATTCTAGTTCTGCTTTCTAAGCTTTCTGCTTCTCAGAAGTGTTATCTTCAGGCAGAAGTTAGCAGTATATTTTGTTAGTTTCATTTGGTTTGATTTTCCTTCCTTTGGTAAGTACAGAGCCCCATTCCACTTCCTGGATTCAAGCAATGAGACACATCCCAATGTCATGTGAAGTCCTCAAAAGCAATTTCTTGCCCCTACTTCAGATCTGCTCTCCCTCTACTTCCTAGTTTTTGCTTTTACATAATGTACCCAAATACACTGTCATGTTGGAATTTCATACATATAATTTAGCTTCACATATTTTTATTCAGTAAAAATAGAAATGGTTTTTGTAAAGCTAAATGGGCTTCAGATATATTTAGAGAAATAAATATGTCTGTCTTTTATAATTATTTTCCTTCTTAGTTGCCATTGAAGATCCACTAACCTAAACTCTTAGCATAATCTGTAAGTACTGTCGTATTGCTAAGTCACTTAAGGTCAGGCTGGAATAAGGCAAATGGGAGACTTGCCTTGGATGCAAAATTTAAGATGATTTTTAAGAACTCAGTAATCACTGAGATAAGTAATGCTTTAATATGATATTTTGAAAAATCAAAATTAATACCAAAAAATCAATGATGACCAATATATTCAATTTTTAAATAAAGAATGTGACCCTGTGCTGGCATCACTCACCTCATTTGCCTCACCATGATATCAACCCTACTTAAGTCTGTGAAGCCCATTCAGCTTCTGTGACCATTTTATATTTGTAGTATATTAAAATATGGACCAGTTTGCTTATCATATTTTAGTCTGCTTGTTTTTAGAAGGTAAACTCAAGTATTTAGTATAGTAACTTGAGAGAGAAGATTTTATATTTCCATGACTTGACATATCTATCATAAAAGTTTCAAAAGATGAAGGATTTATAAAAGATCAACACTTAAACTGCTCTGGGACCTTTTGTGGAGTTTCATGAAAAATTTCCTGAGTTTTATAGTTTTATAGCATTTAATTCTCAACTCTGATAAAATAATAAACTTAGTTTTTCATAGGAAGAATACACATTTACTTCTGAAGTGCAAGACATGTAAGCAAACTGTCATCCACCTGTATCCATGCAGAGCAGCCGTAAAGGAGGCATGGGCCATTGCAGATAAATGAGCAGATAGAAATTTGACACATGGAGTTTAAAGTTCTGTTTCGTTTTGTGGAAGAGGAAATGTAAGATGTGTTTCTTAGTTTCTATTCCACTCGAAAAAAGTTAGGGAAGATGATAGAATAATTCTTATAGTCTTTTACTCAAATTTATAATGACTTTTTCTGTGTATCTTTTGAGCTAGCAATTTTTTCAGTTTGCTTTCTCTATAAACTTTGTTCTTTCTCTACAAAAAAGTCTTTGTATCCTTCAAGGTTTCTTTTTCTGTGTCTTTCTGGAAGTGTAGAATTTAGAGAAATGTTCTCTGTGGGCTAAGTGTATTTTTGTATGAAATGTTACAGAATAAGCTTATACTTGAGCAGAAAATATCATCAGACCATGCATGATTGATTTCCCTTCATTTTAATGGGATTGGTCTAGTTTTAGTAAATTCAAATTTCTCTTTTCTAGAGAGTTTTAAGTTTGAGGCTGTTGTACACAGTGCATTATTTTTATAAATGAGAATAAAAAGATGAAGCTTAGTAATTCTTATTAATTTAATCTTCAGATAGAATACCATTTTTCCACTTAAGAGTTCAGGAAAAAAAATTTATAAACATGTTACCCTCAGTGCACTAGAAGGTATTTTTTAAATTAAAAAGAGAAAAAAATCATTCCATACCTTTGCTTCTGTTTTAATAATTTGTAAAAGATATCTTTTAAAATCTAGTCTGACAACATCTGACATTTGTGTTCATCATTTCACTGAGGTGGATATTGACAGTGGCAGCTATCAGACTTACTGATAAGGTGTTTTACTATTGATTTCTGCTTGGGACTTGTTAGAAGTGTATTCATAGTTTTTAAACAAGTTGTGATATATAATAATGGTTTGAAACACTTGCTTTAGGACTTATAATAGGGAGGTAGGTAATTGTTGGTTAAATAAAACATGCTAAAAAATCCCTCTAAAGTCTTTGTAATTTGAGAAAAAAATGTTTAACCTATCCCCCAATCTAAAAATATGGCTAATTTTTTTAAAGTATGATTTTCTGACTACAGAATTTAAAATTTAGTAAGCAAGATGTCAAAAATATACATGACAGAGAAAGGAGCACTTAGGCACTTTCGGGTAGGGAATACTATATGGATCGTCCATTGAGAAGAATGCTTCTCAGTATTTTTTTAATTCCTGTTGGAACCACTGCAGTTTTTCTAAGGGGTTCCTTGCCAAAGATTCGTTAGAATATGAGTGTTTATAATATTTCTTGAAGTAGTTTGTACAAGTTTTTTTCCTTGGGTTTCTTATGAAGAATATGTTTTAAATTTGCCTCCTTGACACTTCCTTATAGCTGCTGTTTTGTATTTGTGCCATGAATGTGGTGGTTTCCAAGTGAATTACTTCATGTTTTTGTAGAAAACGGGATGTGGTACTGAAATGAGAATGTTCAACCTATTTCATTTCTATTGTGATTTCTTGTTTGCATTAAAAAAATTTTATTTCCATATTAAGTTCAAACAAGAATGTTTGGGCAATAAGTAGAAGAATAGCAACAAAATATAGGGGTATTCTAAAATATTGCTGGAGTAACGGGGTGGGGAGAAGATATCTTCCCCTTCCAGTTAATGCTTCAATATTCTTATAATCTCCGAAACTGGCATGAATAGGGAAGTTTTTGAGACTTTTCTGAACACATTTTAGGCATTTTTCTATTTTAAGTAGAGGTACAGTGACTCTTACAAGATATTATTTTGAATTATTATAGAACAGGATGATTGTGCTATTTTTCATAAGTAGAAGAAATTATTTATGTTGTATGATGCTTAGTAATACACCTTTGTTGTCAATAAGTTATCTCTAGAATTTTGTAGTTGATTACAGAGTAATGTTTTAAAGAATGCATATTTCTTGATTGGCCTAGAACAGTCAATTAACATTTTAATATGCTTTTATACAACTGAACATTAAATCAGGTTATAATTATTGTTAAACAGGATGGTGAAGTGGATGCTGAAGAACTTCAGAGATGTTTGACGCAGTCTGGAATTAGTGAAACTTACTCTCGTGAGTTTTTTTTTTTTTTTTTTGCCTCTTGTTGAAATTGGAGTAGGAAATTCATTTTCTAACCTTTTTGACCCCATACTTAAAATATTAAAAGAATTGATCTCAGTTATACATGCACATAGTTTAAAGACTCAAATAATTCTGCAAAACTTGTTATGAAAATAACTGTTCGTTGTACTTTGCTGTCCCCCAACACAAACTATAGAGGAGGACTTTTTCATCTCTTTTTAGCTGATTCTTTTGAAATTTCCTTCCAAATTTCAAGATAGCATGTTTTTATCTCTATTGATGCTCAGTTTTAATGATTATCAATTGATTTCCTGCTATGGCAGGTGAGGATTTAACTTTCTTTCAACCTTAACCTCACCCCTATCCAGGCACTCTACACAGAAACACTTCCCCACCCTCCCATCCTTCCAGTGTAGTTACGTAGTAGTTTTGGTTAGGTAAATCAGTCTTTGTCTTATTTGTACTATCTAAATGCTGTTCATAACTGGTCTTGTGATAATGTATGATTACTTTTACTTTTTATTTAACCTTTTGCTTTTCCTGCAATTAATAATTGTCAAGTATTATTTTCTCATTATGCTGGAGCTTTCTGATATGTTCTGTTTTCTGTGCACAGCTGACATACTGGCATTCCTTCACCATCATTCTGGAGCTGTCTTTCCCCTCTCTTGGGTTGGATCTCTCCTTTTGCTCCATCTCTGGTTGTCCTCTTTTTTAAAATTCATTTTCTTATTTTAATGAAATATATCATTCAATTTCTTAATAAAAGAGGGCATGGGAGGTAAATTTTTGAGACCTCATGCTGTCTGAAAATGTTTTCATTCTACCTTCACAACTGATTTGGCCTGGTCTAGAATTCTAGGTTACGAATAATTTTTACATGGAATTTTAAAGGGATTGCCCCATTGTTTTTATCTTTCATCATTGCTTTATCTTTCTGTTTCCTGCCTGTATGTGGTTTGTTTTTTGTCTCTGGAAACTTGTGAGATCTTTTTCCTTAGTATTTTGAAATTTCACAGTGAAGTGCCTGGTTGTATTCTGTGGGAAACTCAGTGGGCTCAGTCTGGAAACTTCTTTGCTTTAGTTCTGGGAAATTTTCTTCAGTGATGTTTTCTCTCTTTTCTTTCTCTGGAATGCCTTTTGTTCGACTAAGTTTTTTTCTCTTCTGTCTTTTCTATCTCTTTTTTTCTGTACTTTTTGGGAAATTTCCTTGACTCCATTATATTGGAGCTTTCATTCCCACGACTGTGTTTCTAAAATCCAGGAGCTTCTGTTCCATTTTTATGAATTTGATGTCTCTGCTTATCTCTCTGAGACTATTAATGTATATTTTTTAAGTTTTTTTCTTTCTGTATAACGTTAATTTTCTCCAAACTGGTTTTTCTCCCCATTTTGTTTGTTTTGATTGTCTTTCATGTTAGGTGCTTTTCTCGGTTGTCTGATGATCCTTTGTTGCTCATATTTAACTAAAATGCTGATTAGAAGCTCTGAGATCGTGGTTAGGTGTTGATCGTAGGGTTCAGAATGTGATGGTTTGGCTGGGCAGTTTTGTTGTGGAACTCTGGGTGTCAGTATATGTCAATATATTTGGGGATTTCCTTGCAGGCTGATTTTTCAGTTGATCTTCTGTCTAGAAAGGAAGAGAGATGGACCCTGCGGGTTGTCAAATCTTTTATAAATTGTCATTTAATTGCCTTGTTGTTAGTGGATAACCTTATCTCAACTGTGCCTGGTATCCTACAGTTCATGGACCTCTCCAGAGAGTAAAATTCCAGACTACTGCAGGGGGTGCAGGGGAAAGTAGGTATGGCAGCCACCAAACTGAATTAAGGCAGGGAGGGGATTTGGGGCTTTAAATGCTCCTTAAATAGACAGCCAGCCAATCCTTCTGTTTTTATCTCTACTTTTATACCCATTTTCAGAAGTACTGCTGATTCTTTGGCATTTAGAGTCTTTTCCAAGATAACTAGATTGCTTCCCTGCTTTTCTCATTACAAGTTGAGGAATCCATTTTTATTGGGTTTAGGTTACTTAACTTTTCAACTTGCAAAATTTTGTTCCTTTGTTTTCTCTCTCATTTTCTATTTCTCTAAAGGTTTATGCCTTAAAAATCAGTTTACTGGTCATTCTAATAGGCTGTGGGGAGGAAGTGAAAATCTGTTAACTTTCTTGAAAAGTGTATCTTGCCACTCATGTCAAAAATATTTCATCTATACACATACAATCCTATTCTAAGATTGAAGATCTGCGTATTTGCTGATTCAATTTTTGCCATTTATTATCATCAATTCAGATTCTCCTACCTTATGAAAGTATGCCAAGATAACTTTAAGCAAAACATATTATTTACTTGCTAAAAAGATGAAATACCATTTCAGAAATTTCTCGTGTAACCCCCGACCCTGATAGTTTTTTTACAAGGGAGCATTGGGCTCCAATCTTGATGGTTTCACTTATTAATTAGCTTTATAAACTTGGAAAACTATCTTTCTGGGCATCGGTTTCTTAATTTGTAAAATCGGGACTATCATATGCTTGGAATGTTTTTGTGAAATTATATAACACATACTGCCTGACTCATAGCAAGTACAAACTCAGCCTCCTGAGTAGCTAGGACTACAGGTGTGCTCCACCATGCCCAGCTAATTTTTTAATTTTTTTGTAGAGATAAGGTCTTTTTTTGTTTCCTAGGCTAGTTTCAAACTCCTAGCTTCAAGTGATCCTCCTGCCTTGGCCTCCCAAAGTGCTAGGATTACAGGCCTGAGCCACCATGCCTAGCCTATAACTGCTTATTTAATTACTTAAATCCCCTCACTAGATGTGAATAGTTTGAAGGCAGTAATTTCTTTTAGTCATTTTTTTTTTTAACAATGGGTGCTTAACATTCAATAAATATGTGTTGATTATGGTGATTTGTATATTTTGGGGAGTTTTTAAATGTTCTGTTTTGAGAATACATATTGTCATAATTTCACATAGATAAAATTGGGCAGACTGCAATTTAAATATTGAATATGTTTTACAGCCTTCAGTTTGGAAACCTGCAGAATTATGATTGCCATGTTGGATGTATCCTTGAGTAAAAATAGAAAATACTAAAATATAGAGTAATTGCTGTCTAAATATTAAGCCAGTTGTTAGTTTTAAATGACCATAGGATACTAGAGTATTTGAAAGTACTTTAAGATCCTGTTTGAATTCCAGACTTTCTTATTTTTACACAGAAATCTATCCATATGCTGAGTTTGACTAACTGCA